ACAAAGGCATTATGCTGAGTGAGAGAAGCCAGTTCAAAAGTTTATATGTTGAAAGATATCATTTATATGGCATTTTCACAACAACAAAACTATAGAGATAGAGGATAAATTAATTAGGATTCTGGAGAGGGTAGGTCTACAAAGTGGTTATACAAAAGAAATTTTGGGGATGATGATACTTTTCTATATCCTGCCTGGGGCAATAATTACATGAACATATTTATGTGTTAAAATCATAGAAATGATTACCAAAAAGAATATGTATTACTGCAAGTATACTAAAAACAATATTAAAAAACAAAGCCAGGGTCTCGGGTCATACCAGCTCTGGCTCCCTAAAGTCTAGGCTGGAGATATCTAAAAATAAGGATAGATGATACTGTATTTCAATCAAAATGGTCTCAGTATGAAGTTTCATCCCACTGTGTCTTCTTAAAAGCTGAGAAACCGGTGATTTTTACTAGATTATAATTAAGTGACAAAAGGTATGTTTCATCTGTAACTGCAATGCACCCATTAATTTAAGCACAAGAAGAAAAAAAAAGGGACTCATTCTCACAAAACATTTTTCTTTCCTAGATCAAAAGCTTAAATCACATACATAAATAATCTGCTAAGCTCCTGAATTTTCATAGACTAATACACTATAAGAAAATTGAATTGATTTAATTTTAACACAGTAGTCTACAATGTGTTAAAATTACTGAAGAACAGAATTAAGGAAAAAGCAAAATCATGATAAGGACAGACTAAAGGTATGCTGTATCTAGATGATGCCAAAATTACTGGTGAATATGGTCACTTCGCTGAGGATCTCAGAATCTAGGTTAATATCAGAGGGAAAGATCTTGTACCTTTAAAACACAAGCAATGTTGTAAACCAACATTACCTCAAAAAAAAAATTTCAGATCTTAAAATGATTTTTCCCTACCTCAACACGGAAGTAATGCCTATATCATGTGAGGAACCCAATTCCTTCAGTCTTTTTAAAACCTAAATTCCTCAATAATCAATCTCTTTCATTCAGGGCTCCTACATACTGCTGCCAAGAGGGGGCCAATATATGTGAACAGGTGAAAGAGAAGTTTGTTTCTTTGTTTAATTACCTCTCTAAATCTAAAAGGGTCAGAAGGAGAGAAAAAAAATAAAGAATACTAAAAGGAGATTTTATTAGCAAGATAAAATAAGAAAATAAAATTGGACAAAATACCTAGACAATTTGAAAAAAAATCTTTCCAGAAAAGAGGAAGAAGAAACATTTCTTAATTCATTCTATGAGGCCAGCAATTCTCTAATACCAAAATCAGACAAAGACATTATAATAAAGAAAAACTACAGACCATTCTCATAAACAAATACAAAATTCCTCACCAACATATTAGCAAGTCAAATCCAACAATGTATAAAAAGAATTATACAACATCTGGGCCTCCCTGGTGGCACAAGGGGTTAAGATGCAACCTATGAAGCAATCCGCAGCCCCTGCAGCACCAGTTCGATCCCCCACTAGGGAGCTACCCACATGTTGCAGCAGACCTCTCCTGACTTGCCTGCTGCTCCCCTCAGCAGTGTGTTTCAGTTGATCTGCCTGTTCTGTTCCCCACTCTGTCTCTGGTAAGCCTCTCACCTCCCCCACCTCTGGCCTGTACCCCAGCTCTTGTATGCATAAATAAATAAATCTTTTTAAAAAAGAATTACACAACATGAACAAGTGGAATTCATTCCATGTATGTACGGCTGGTTCAACATTTGAAAATCAATTAATGTAACCATCATATCAACAGGCTAAAGAGGAGATATATGATATCGATAGATGTTTAAAAGCACATGTCAAAAATCCAACAGCTATTCACAATGAAAACTCCCAGCAAACTGGGAATAGAGGGGAACTTCCTCAACTTGACTAAGAACATTTACATATATTTAGATAAATATATTTAATTTTTTTTTTAAAAAAAGAACATCTACAAGAACTCCTAATAGCTAACAAACACTTAATGGTGCAAAACTACATGCTATACCCTACGATTGGGAAAAAAACAAGGATGTCCTCTGTGAAAGACACTTAAGAAAAGGAAAATACAAGCCATAGATTGAGTGGAAATATTTGCACATCTATCTTACAAAGGACTGGTATGCAAAATATACAAAGAACTGTTAAAATTCAATAAGAAAATGAAACACCCAATTAAAAAAGGCCGTAAGACCTGACAGACATCTCACAAAGGAAGATAAACCAGTGGCAAATAGCATATAAAAAGATGCTCAGTATAAAATATCATTAGGCAATTTCAAATTAGAAAAAAAAAGAGACACTGCCAAATACCTATTAGAATGGCTAAAATTCAGTATACTGGACAACACTAAATGCTGACAAGGATATGGAGTAACAGAAATTATCATTCACTTAAAAAAAAAAAAGAAACAAAAGACAACCAAAAACAAATTATCAGTCATGGCTGATAGAAATACAGACTGGTACAGCCACATTGGAAGAGAGTTCACAGTTTCTCACAAAACTAAACATAGTTTTACCATATAATCTAGCAATTGCACTCCTTGATAATTACCCAAATAAGTTGAGATTTATGTCCACAGAAAATCCTGCACGTGAATGTTAACTGCAGCTTTACTTATAATTGCAAAAATCTGTAAGCAACCAAGATGTCTTTCAACAGATTAATGGGTAAACACACTATGGCAAATGCATACAAAGGGTTATTTTTCCGTAATAAAAAGAAATGAACTGTCAGTTATAAAAATACATGATTAACTCTGAAATTCATATTGCTAAGTGAAAGAAGCCAACACGAAAGGTTTACCAAACTATATAATCTCAACAATATGACATTCTGGAAAAGGGTAAACTATAGACAGTAAAAAGTCAGTGGTAGTTAGGGATTTGGGAAGATGACAGAAAAGGATGAACCTGTGAAATACATAGGATTTTTAGGGCAGTGAAACTATTCAGTATGATTATCTTAACGGAATATACATAACACGATTTTCCCAAATCCATATAACTATACAACATAAAGGGTGAATCCTAATGTAAATTATGATCTCATTTCATAAGAAAAGGTATGTTATATAATTGGTTCATCAATCATAACAAATGTACTACACCAATGCAGGATGTTAATAATAAGAATTCAGTGGTTCTTTGTCTAGGGGAGAGGGAATATAGGAATTCTCTGTACTTACTGATCAATTTTTCTGTAAACCTAAAAGTTCTCTAACATACAAAGTCTTTTAATTAAAAAAATACACCAGGGTATAAATCATAATTCTCAACTTAATTAAAAGCTTCAAATAGCATTGTTTCATTTAAAAAAGTATTTTTCAGGAAATTTTAAAGAATGGAGGTTAAGTAAAATATATGAATCTTTGAAGCTACGTATATCAAGATAGTAGTTACTAGAAAACTGAAGCTCCTCCATGAAGCCTTCTCTAAGTGCACAATTATTGGAACTCCCATGTGGCTTCATTTGTGACTCCCTTTGGCATTTATGTTATATATTTATATAAAATCATTATTTGTATATTTTTTCCTTTAATACACTGCAACTCCAGGAGGCCAAACACCACATTTTATTCATTTTTGTACTCACAGTTGTCTAGCACTATACCTTGTTATTCAACAAATGTATGCTCAATCCATATTGCTACAGTCCACTAGCATGGTTACCAAATTCTAGTCAAACTTCATTTATACTATTAAGATTTATTTATTTTTTATTTATGCATACATGAGCTGGGATGTAGGCCAGCGGTGAAGGGGTGGTGGTGAGAGGATTCACCAGAGACAGAGTGGGGAGCAGAACAGATGGATCTACTGAAATACACTCCTGAGGGGAGCAGCGGGCGAGACAGGAGAGGTCTGCTGTGCCGTGTGGGTAGCTCCCTGGACAGGGATATAACTTGTGCTGCAGTGGCTGGCTTCACAGTACTGAGACTAAACCCCTTGCGCCACGAGGGAGGCCTCTCATTTCTACTTTTAACAGATTTATTTTCTTTATCATATTTTTGACCTAAAATATCTAAACTTACTTATTTTTAACACACATATTACATTTTACTACATGCCAGACACTGTTCTAAGTCATTTACATGTTAATTTATTCCTCATAACAAATCCTATCTTACCTATTTTACAAATTAGGAAACTGAGGCACTGAGTTTAAGCAATAGGCCCAAGTTTAAGGGTTAGTAAGTGGCAGAACTCAGGAAGTCTAACTCTAGAGACTATCTACCACGGATATATATTGTACCTTAAGATACTGATATATACTTCACTGACTTTAAGGTTTGAATAAATTGAAAATAAGGTTTTTTCTTGAAAGGTCAGTCATTACTATAACTTTGCCTTATTAAAACAGATTACAGTACAGTAACAAACTGAAGAGGCTTCTAAGATATAGAGAGATCCTATACTGAATGGCACCAGAGCTTCCAGTTTTTGTGGCTGATCTTTTTTTAGTTATCCTGCTTTTCCCCTTGATGTTACACCATTTTATTTACCATTTATGGCTACCAGTGTGTCTAAAATGTCTTCATCCTCTTTTCAATGTATTGGAATTGGAGCCAAGCTTAGCAGAATATATAATAAATATGGGGCAATAAAGTTCTGTGGAGCGTGGAACTTATACTTACGTTTTGTTACAACCAATGATACTGCATATACACTGGTTTCAGGAGTGAATTCTATCAATTGAGGCTGTGAGAAACCTGATCCACAGATAAATCAGGCATTATCATATAATTTCTGCTAACTTCACAAGAGTTATTATGTTGTAGCACATACAGATGTCTAATGATAATGCTATAACACCTGAAACCTATATAATCTTATAAACCAATGTCTTCGATTTAAAAATTCTTGAAAGGTATTACATAAAGTGTCATAAAAGTTGTCAATGAACCCCCAAAAGTACTTAAAAATCCTCGTAATATTTCTTAGTTATAACAAAACAACAATGCATAATTGTCCTATTCTTACCTTTGCACTACCCAAAAATCCCAGGGAAATGGCAACTCTAGCTCGTAGATCTGGCCTGTCTCTGGGCCACACATAAGAAAGCATTGCTTTTATGATTTTTTTAGTGTCAACATCTTTTAACTGTTGAAAGAGAGAAAACAAAGCAGTGAGAAACATGTCATTTCAATTATAACTACATTTCAATAACGTAGAATTATATAAATATTTGACAAAATATGAAAATATTACATATATAACTTTAATTCTAAATCTAACATCAATAATTTTCAAACTCAACTATTTTGGGGAAATAGAAACTACTTCAATTGCTTTCACTTATTTCTCATGTTTTTTACTTTCAGCTACAGCCATCCTCACATTTCCAAAAAGTTATTCAGTGGGGGAAAGAGGAAATGCACTCATTATACATGTATTTATTATACATTAAGCTAAAAACATTACATAAAATTTAAGAAACATTTTGATCTTTGTGGGTCAAAATCTTTATATATATTTTAGGTTCTTTAACCATGTATTTATTTAAAATAGTTTATAGAGCCCTTAAGCTCAAGTTCAAGATAGAGCAATTATACTGACAGCATTTAGAAGCAGTCTTGACATTTACTATACAGAATAGAGGTTGCATTATTAAAAATTTCAACAAAAACACAATTTTCCAGTTATGCTTAATCTGATCTAAGTCCATTTTATATTTTCCCCATGTTCCCAAGGCAACATTTCTATTAAAACTTTTGCTTTAATTTCAGCTTTTAGGCACAAATTATGAAGAAACAAACCGATACTTTCAGAAAGTCAAAATAAGATCAACACACATATATATATATATATATATATATATATATATTACAAAACTACTCTTTCATTACAATTGGTGAAATAATAAACAATTTAAAATTTGAAGTATTCAACTTGTGGAAAAGGTATTTAAAAGAATAACAAAATCAAAAAAGCAAATGCTCAGTTAGTAAAGGTGTATGGAAAACGGTACTTTAATACACTGTTAATAGGAAACTATACTGAGACAATCTTTCTGGAAAGCAATTTGGTATCTACCATAAGTTTTTAAAACAATTCTGCCCTTTGTGTCAAGAATTCTACTTCTGGGGCTTTATGCTTACAAAAAAAAATTCTTGGAATATTCTCTAAGAATAATCATTTTACATCCTAAAAATCTCTTGACTCTACCTACTTCTTGCATTTCTACCAGCAATCTAATACAAGCTATCATTTCTGACCTAAACCACTACAACAACCTCTTAACTAATTTCCCTGCATCCATTCTGATACCTGTCCAATTAGTACAGCCCGCGATCAGCTACTACCCCAGCTTAAAACCTTTCAGTGGGATGTTATTAATCTTAAGATAAAGACCAAAGTCCCAAGGTTTATGAGGCTCTGCTTGGCTGGCCACAAACTCCCTCTTTAGCCATGTCTTACAACACTGCTTTCCATTATCATACTGTACAGGCTTTCTTTCAGTTCCTCAAACATGTTGTAATTCCTCCTGCCACAGAGTCTTTGCACAACCATGCACTCAGTTCGGCATAATCTCTCTCTCTATGCAATACCAGCCTGCCCCGTAATGTCTTCTAATTAAATTCCATGGAAGTTCAAGCAGCACTTCCTCAATAAGGTTGTCCCTAATCCAGTAAGGAACCTTGGCAGTATTCTCTCGCAAAACAGTATCCCTTTCTTTCAGAGTATCCACTTAAGCTATAAACTACATCAATATACAGTATTGTGATTATTTGATTAACAGCTGCTCTCCTGCTAGAATTTAAATTCCACGTGAATAGTATCTGTATTCTGTACTCATTGTTGTAATCTAAAACTAAATATCGTGATTGACAAACAGCAAATTACCAAATTACCAACTAATTAATTACTGAATATGGAATAAAAAAATTAGCTATAAGGATATTTATTCTTATGCTGCTTTAATAGAAAAAAAATGGAAATAGCCTAAATGAATGCCTGTAACAGAATATAGTCATCCAGAAATAAATACAATCACAAACAGAGAAAAACATGTTAAATGAAAGCAGAGTACAAAAAATTTATTTTCCACGGGAAAAAAAAATGAGATATGCATATGAGTTTATGCATGCACCAAATGGATCTGGAAAGCAATACCCCAAAAGTGTTAACATCAGTAACTATGAATAGTTGGAATCATTGATGACTTTTTTTTAAAGAATAATTTTTTAATTAAACATTTATTTATTCTTATACAAGAACCAGGATACAGGCCAGATGTGCGGGAGGGTGAGAGGATTCACCCAAGACAGAGTGGGGAACCGAACAGGCAGACAGACCAAAATACACTGCTGAGGGGAGCAGTGGGCGAGACAGGAGAGGTCTGCCCTGCTATGTGGGTATCTCCATGGCCACCGGGGGTCAAACGGGCACTGCAGAGGCTGCGGACAGCTTCACAGCGCTGCGCTCAACCGCCTGCACCACTAGGGAGGCCCATTGATGACTTTTTTACAGCCTTCTTATTTGCTTGTATTTTCAGTAGCTGACATATAGTAAGAAAAAATTTAAATTCATTTTGAGGGAGAAGAGTTACATAATTTCCAGTACATCTGCACAGCAGGAATGGAGGAAATTGTCAACATAAGAAACAGGACAACACATTATATAATACTGGGTAGTTTCATATTATAAATACTACCCCTCCCACCAAGACTAGCAAACTATTTTTCAAATCTCTTTTAGTCAGTTTAATGACAGAAATAAAACTGTTCACATTGTACCAAGGCATAGGCCTACCTTCCTGAGCTGCTTTTATTAAATATCAATAGATGGCAAAAACATGAAGTTTCGAAATATTTTACACACAAATATACATGCTCTCATAACTGGTAAGGTTTTTTTTTTTTTAAAGGGAATAATGCAGTATGAAATTTTCAAATTCATTCCCATTTCACATGTTTTGTCTTATTTTTTGCGATGGAATAATGGCCAAAAGGCCCTGTTTCTGCATATCTTTAGAAACACACTCTCTGTCAAAACTTTCTATAATACACCCCAAAATTTATTCAATAAGGACACAAAGAAGCTATGGCTAAGAGCAAGAAAATTATTTTAGTTGGCTTAATAATACATAAATGTTACCACTTCATTTAAAATGCATCCAGAAGTTGTGTAATCATGCATTATGAGTCCACTAAGCTGTAAAACACATGACTTCAGGTATAGTTCAGATAAACTCTAACATTTGAAAACTAATATATTTTCCTAAAAGTAGAGGTCAAATGAGGCACTTCAGAGACTGAGTCACATTGTTAAACCATTTTAAACCAGCTACTTCCTGCTGTACTAGAATTAAATAAAATTTGAGGCCTCAATACAGATTCTGAAAGATAATATACCATATTTTAAAATCACCACAGTTAGTTCATGTTGGACACCCAATGGTAACAGTGAAAGACAAAAGAATTATTTAAAGTAAAAGGAGACCAGTCACAAGCTTGAGGCTAAATATGACATCTTTCATATCAACTAATCTTTTCAATTCAAACTAATCACAAATAGTATACCAATTCTTTTTTTTTTTCTTGAAAGAATGAAGATACACTTTTTCTAAGACAAACTTCTTTTTTTTTTTTTTTAAAGATTTATTTATTTATTTATACAAGCACTGGGTACAGTCAGAAGCGCGGGAGGGTGAGAGAATTCACCAGAGCCAGAGCAGGGAGAAGAGCAGGCAGAAGGACCGAAGTACACTGCTGAGGGGAGCAGCGGGCCGCAGGAGAGGTCTGCGCGCCATGCGGGATCCTCCTCCGGTGGCCGGGGAGCAGCCGGGGATCAAACAGGCGCTGCATTAGCCACCGGGGAGGCCCAAGTATACCAATTCTTTTAAAGATGAATTCTTAAAGTATGGGAAATGTAGGAAATCATCAAGGAAAATGACAATATATCGGGTTATTTTATACCAGTGTATGAAGAGTAATTATAGTGTAGGGGAAAAAAACCCCAATGATTTAAGAAAAGAAAGTTCCTTCATTCTTAAGGGTCAAAATTCCTTTTGATATAATGGTTTTAAGTCTCATTTGCACAAAAACAGAAAATATGAACTACTTTAACTTCTCTGTTTATCATTTTCACAGTAAATAGAATTTAGAAGTCATTTTAAAAAGACAACTGTGATAACTACATCATTACAACAAAAGCTCTGTAAAAGTAAACACTATGGAAATATCATTTATAAGCTTATAAAAGTTGCGTGAATCTACTTTATTCTGTGCTAACAATATATATAATGTGGTCTTTTTGCTCTAGCTAAATAACCTCAAATTTAAAACATAAAACTGACATTTTATGCCTCATTACAATGTAAAAACTAGTACTGTGTTAGTATAAAGAATAAACATTTTTAGGAAGGTCTCAACTATATGCTGGAATTAATTAGCCATAATTAAAGAAAAGCAGTTTGATTCAGAAAGAAGGTAACAAGGGTAACAAAAGCTAACAAAGGGTAACAAAAGAAGGAATTCAAATTGGCTCATTGTGTTTTTTTTTTCTAGAAATGAGTTTGAAAGAAAAGGTTTAGAAACATCAGAATTGTCAGAGATGAAAGTTCAAGAAAACAAGCTGTACCAAAAGAAAAAAGGAAGAAGAAATTTAACTAATAAAAGAAGCAAAACAAATATTTATTCAACTAATGAATTAATTTATCTGTTTGTAAACACACAAGGAAAATTCTTATTAATATCCTAGAGATACACCTAATACTTGATTTATTAAGTCATCAAAGAAAAAATGGTTTATGCTACAAATGAGATGAATTTGTATCCAACAGCCAATTTAATAATTTATAATATAAATATAAATACTGAGATGACTGATACTTGCATTAGCCAAAGAATTCTCTATCCCAAAGAAAAATCAATAGGAGAAATGAAATCAAGATCATATAGCTGCTTAATAATATATGAAATGAGAGCTAGAAAGGTGCTTGTTTATGTCTTCCAGGTATTCCTGCCCATTGGTCGGTGTGGGCACTCATTTCAACAAGCCTAGAGACTCATTCCTTTATTTCCCCAAACCCCAACACTCCAAATTGCTATTTCACTTATTCCAATTATATCAGGATTTACACCAAAGCTCTCTGATTGCTCCAGAAAGTGCTAATGTCCCTTTTAATACTACTAAATTCTGGCAGCTTCCAATCAATAAGGATATGTTTCTAACATAAAAAAGAGCATGTCAAACAAAGTCTGAAAAGTAATCTTTATGTTAAGTTCTGCATTATTTGTGTCCTTTTACGAACACAGGATCAATTAAATTTTACTAAGAGATGTCTCTTCAAAAGAGGCACATAAAAAAAAGTTTACATCCTTTCAAAATCTAAAGATTCTATTATAAACAAATAATTCCTTAATCTATTTTTTTTTTGCTGAAGTACTATTGTTTTACATCCTTGCTAGTGTTTTGACAGTATAGGATTTCCTCCCTCAGATGTAGTCACCATAGCAGTCCCACCACCAAAGCACCCATTGTCCCCCACCATAGTCCACTGTGCTGTTACCCCCTCCTCATCCCTTCCTTTCCACTTCAACTCCGGATGCCTCAGATCCATGGTCAGCTTTCAAGGGTGGATTTTAAAGTTTGTTTTTATCTAACCTTTTGTTTGGTTTATCTATATTCCACATTATAAGTGACAGCATCCAGTATTTATCTTTCTCATTCTGGCTTGTTTCACTTATCTAATACCTTCCAGCTTCATCCATGTTGCTGCAAATGGCATGAGTTCATCTCTTTTGATTGTTGAGTAGCATTCCACCATGTATATATATACCACACCTTCTTGATCCACTCATTTGTTTTTAGACACTTAGGTTGTTTCCATATCTTGGCTATTGTCAAAAGTGTTGCAGTGAACACAGGAGTGCAGGTTTCCTTTCAAATTAGTGTTTTTGTGTTCTTTCTGTGGAGTTAGGGTTTCCGTATAATATCATGTCATCTGCAAATAATGATAGTTTTACTTCTTTCCCAGTTTGGGTTCTTTTGATAGCTTTCTCTTGCTTAATTCCTCTAACTAGGACTCCCAATACTATCCTGAATAGTACTGGTAAGAATGGACACGCTTGTCTTGCACCAGATCTCAGTGGAAGTCTTATACCAGATCTTAGTGGAAAGTTTTTCAGTTTTTTACCACTGAGAATGATACCTGCTGTGGGTTTGTCAGATAGGTTCCCTTTATCCCCGTTTTTCAAGGGTTTTCATCATAAGTAAATGTTGAATCTTATAAATGCTTTCTCAACATCTACTGATATGATCATGTGATAATTTATTTTAAAGATAGGAGCTTTCAAATTGAAAGCTACCAATTGAAACTACCACTTCTTTTATAACCCTTTACTATGGCTACACTGGTTAAACATGATTTAAACATTTCCTGAACAATACTATTAATGCTGACTAACAGTTGTTATGAACATTCAAGTATAAATGCATAAAAACTACAGTACAAATTTCAGTTGGTTTTAAGGCAAAATTATACAATTTGCCACAGTGATAAAATTTCTACATGGTGGATTGGATGTTCTGATGTTTAAACTGATAAGTTTTTGGATAGAAGAGACTGTTTTGTTAATTATTGCATTTATAATACTTAACATAGTTACACACAAAGCAGTTATTCAACACATATTTTTTTAAGAGATTGTGAAATTTATTTTCTAAAGCTTTGTGGTGAGTTGATAACAACCCAAGTTTCCTCTGATTCTGTGGCATGCTACTTTCAAGTAAAAGACATTGCCATTCTGGGTAAGCAACAATCTCGCTACCTATCTCATACTACCCCAGAAGTAAAAGAAATATTTTCTTACTGTGCTAAAACACTCACAATATAAAACTTATAGTTTTAATAATTTTAAAATGTACAACTCAGTGGTATCAAATATATTCACAGTGTTGTGCAATCATCACCAGCAGCTCACCTCTAGAACTTTCCCATCACCCCAGAAGGAAAAGTTCTTAAATATTGCCATAAGCCTGAGAAAGTCTCATCTATATAATCATGCTCAATTCATATGGTTTTGCATTAGAACACCTGCATTTACGTGGGTCAATTAAAATATTCTGGAATATAATCTGAATATATTTATCTTCCATGCAAGTACCATCATTCACAAGAATTTCTAGTTACTTGTTATTAGCTCTTACCCCTTCTTTTGGGTCTGTGTGGAGTCCTCCTCCAGCATGACCATGCCAGCATGTCCTCTTTTCAATCTGCGGCCATGCCTGGAGAGCCTAGTTGAAAATAATACCAAGTAATCCATTATTAGGTCTTACAGAATTTCACATTTTGTAAAAATCTGACTTAGTCTAATTTAATGAAAGTCCCCAAAACACATTCAGAAGCATAGCTTTCAGCATAACACAGTAAAGGCAAAACACCTTCAAAGCTAGTTTACAGATAAATTTATGCAAAGAATATTGAGATACAATAAATATTCATCAGCAGTTACCTATTCTTAAATAGCTTTTAAAATTAACATTTAGGACCTCCCCGGTGGAACAGCGGTTGAGCGGTGGGTTGAGAAGCTGCCCGCAGCCTCCGCAGCGCCGTTTGGATCCCCGGCTGCTCCCCGGCCACCAGAGGAGGGCCCCACATGGCGCTCAGACCTCTCCTGCCGCCCGCTGCTCCCCTCAGCAGTGTGCTTCGGTCTTTCTGCCTGCTCTGCTCCCCACTCTGGCTCTGGTGAATTCTCTCACCCTCCCGCACTTCTGACTGTACCCAGTGCTTGTATGTATAAATAAATAAATAAATCTTTTTTAAAAATTTAAAAAAATTAACATTTAAAAGATTTAATTTGTATTACACTTTTATTGGACTTATACCAGCTTTCTTATTGTCATTTGCCACTATAAAACTATAAATCTGTTGGGCCTCCCCGGTGGCGCAGCGGTTGAGCGCTGGGTTGCGAAGCTGCGCGCGGCCTCTGCGGCGCCGGTTCGATCCCCGGCTGCTCCCCGGCCACCGGAGGAGGGTCCCACATGGCGCGCAGACCTCTCCTGCCGCCCGCTGCTCCCCTCAGCAGTGTACTTCCGTCCTTCTGCCTGCTCTGCTCCCCGCTCTGGCTCTGGTGAATTCTCTCGCCCTCCCGCGCTTCTGACTGTACCCAGTGCATGTATAAACAAAACAAACAAAGAAACCAGCAAACAAATAAATAAAGCATGCCTCTATAAAAAAAAAAAAAAAAAAAAAAAAAAAAAAAAAAACTATAAATCTGTTATTCTGTCATTGGCAAGCAAAGTATAATACAGTTAATTAATTATAACCTATTTGATATCCAGGTGTATACCTTTTTTGCTTTACAATATAATATAGATCGCTTTATGTAATTGATTCTTTGCCTATTATTCTGGCTCCCATATATCTCACATTCAGAAACAATGCATTTTTTTTTAATATCACAGTCTATCTTGTGCTATAGTAAACACATATTTCCTCTGTCCTATTACATGGTAAATATTTACGATTAGGGATAGTATCTCTTATCCTTGTATGTCCTATAGCACACATCACCATGTGTTGAACATGGACAGAGTACGTTTCAATGCTTTTTAGATTAGCTTACAAAAACAGATATCTATAAACGTCCCCACTAGCCTTAAAAGCCAGCAGCTCACCTATTATAATTTTCTTTTTTTTTTATAGAGGCATGTTTTTTATTTATTTATTTGTTTGTCTGTTTGTTTTGTTTATACATGCACTGGGTACAGTCAGAAGCGAGGGAGGGTGAGAGAATTCACCAGAGCCAGAGCGGGGAGCAGAGCAGGCAGAAGGACCAAAGTACACTGCTGAGGGGAGCAGCGGGCAGCAGGAGAGGTCTGCGCACCATGTGGGACCCTCCTCCGGTGGCCGGGGAGCAGCCAGGGATGAACCACGTGGCCGGGGAGCAGCCAAGGATCGAACCGGCGCCGCAGAGGCCGCGGGCAGCTTCACAACCCAGCGCTCAACCGCTGCGCCACCGGGGAGGCCCAATTTTTAAAGCACCTTAAGATTACTTCTCCAATTAGGAAAATATAAAGACTAAATCATTTGATGCTATATAAATTAAAGAGATAGTAAAAATTAGGTTTAAAATTTAGGCTTGCAAAGAAAGCAACACAGAGATGTTAATCTAATTAACATAATCAGTTAATCTAATTAACTGATCAATTGCAGATCAGGGAGGGTTCCTCTCTTCATTACAACAGGACACCGGAGAGATCCATGCATCTGTACATCTAAAAGTGGGTAAACTGGGGCTCATGTAAGTGACAGAGCTAGGAGAAGCAGACAGCCAAGTCACCATGTACATTCAAGGGTCCAGAGAAGGCAGGCAGGGCAGAGACAGTGCAGAGCCCATGACATTGGCCCAAGTAAATATCAGGGAGATGGAAAGATAAAGTACATTAACCAGGGATGTGGCAACAAGAGTACCAGAGAAAGCAAGGAACTGCAGCTTCCCTTCCTTCCCATTCTATTATTGGAATCAGCACCCCAGAGAGTATCAAGCACTGAGTCTCAGTTCCAAGACCCCAAGGAAGAAAAGAAGCAGAGGGGAAACACAGGTGACTCAGGCTCACTGTCCACTGCCCATGGCAGCAGATAAATCATTCTACATCTATGCAACACTAGAACCACAGAGCAGTGGCTATATGCACCATCCCGAGTCACAGGTGGTGACATATATAGCAGTAGTCCTAAGGACATCAGTAGTAACCAAAAATCTAAAGCCACAGCACCACCTACTGGTAACAAAAGTATCTAATTACTAAGCTGCTTAATTATAATTAAAGCAAGGAAAGTTAAAAATAAATTAATTTAAAAAACCGAAAAGGTAGTGGACACTCCAGATGTGCAGAGATGACTATAACTTTAACTAATATGAAACCTCAAGCTATGGCATCAAAAAAAGAGAATGCCAGTTCTCCAGAACCAAACTTAAAGACACAGAACACTTGGATCTAAAATCAGACCATTCAAAAGAGCGACCATAAAGAAACTTAGAGAAATACCAAAAAAAAAAGTAAGTTAGACACAGCAGGAATGAAAATAACTAGCAGAGGTTTATTTACCATAGAGATTGCACTTATAAATAAGCCACTAACAGAGACTCATTCAGTATGTGAACAATTCAATAAATGAGATGAATGTTGCAATAGAAAGCAGTAGAAATAGAATACATCAAATGGAGAAATGGATTAGAGAGCTAAAAACAGAAACCTAGAAATGATTCAGGTGTAGAAGTAGAGAAACAGGATGTAATAAAATGAAGAAACACTGAGAGCTAGCCAATTCTATTTGTAAAGGCAATATAAGGATAATGGGTATCCGAGGTGATGTAGAGAAAAGGGAGCAGAGAACCTATTCAAATGAAAAATAGCTGAGAACTTCACAAACGTGGGGAAGGAAATGAATATACAAGTCCATGAAGCTAACAAAACACCTAACTCTCTAAATGCAAAGGAATCTATATCTAGATACATAATAATACAACTGTCAAAAGTTGATAATAAAGGATACTAAAGGCTAGAGGAAAAGTGCATGTAATACATACAAATACTCCCATCAGGCTATCATCAAATGCAGCAAAAATGTTACTGGCCAGAAAAAAAGTGTAATGACATATTCAAACTACTCAAAGATGAAAATTGCCAGCCAACACTCTATCCTAAAAAGCAATATTTCAGATTTAAGGGGGAGGGAGAAAAAAAATTTCCCAAACAAAAGCTGGATTTCACCATCACTGGGCCTTCTGTATAAGAAATGTTAACAAGACTTTTTCTATCTGAATTGAAAAAAAGAGAGTTCACAAAACTTAAACAAGGCAATAAAAATATAGAAGGAAGCAAAAAGCTGAAACTCTGCCTCAAAACAGGGTATTGAACACTATTTTCAGAATAAAGGATAAATGGAAAGAAACACTAAAAATAATTACATATACTCTAATTTGCTAATAATCTAGCAGTATAAAATAATTTGTGACAAATATATTAAAGAGAACAGAAAGGACAGAGCCTTTATAGAGAAATGAAGTTACGGAGATATTAGCAGAAAAAAAGGATTATTTGAGATATGAGACATTCTACACAAGCCTTATGGTAACCACAAAATAAAAATTTGGAGCAGACACCAAGCACACAAAAAGGAGAAACAGTGAAAAAGCAGAGAAATCCATCAAAATAAAATGGAGATAGAAATATAAAGAAAAAGAAAGAACAGAGATAAAGAACAACCAGAAACAAAAAGATAAAATGGCAAGCAGCAAGTCCTAATATAACAATAATGACCCTAAATGAAAATGGACTGAACCCATCAATGAAAAAACACAAAGTGGGCCTCCCCTGGTGGTGCAGGAGATTGAGCGCAGCACTGTGAAGTTGTCCGCAGCCTCTGCAGCGCTGGTTCGCTCCCGGCCAGCTGGCGAGGGTCACACATGGCAAAGCAGACCACTCCTTTCTCGCCTGCTGCTCCCCTCAGCAGTGTATTTCGGTCCATCTGCCTATTATGTTCCCCACTCTGTCTCTGGTGCATCTTCTCACCCTCCCACACATCTGGCCTGTACCCTGGTTCTTGCATAAATAAATCTTAAAAAAAAAAAAAAAAAGAAAAAGCACAAAACACCTTGCTGGACTAAAAAAACAAAACCCACCATATATATCGTCAACTAATCTATGATAAAGAGACAAAGAATATACACTGGAAAAAGGAAAGTCTCTTAAATAAATGGTTTTGGGAAAACTAGACTGCCACATGCAAAAGAATAAAACTAGACTACTAACTCGCAACATATACAAAAATCAGTTCAAAATGGATAAAAGACTTGAATATAAGACCTGCACCCCATAAAATATATAGAAGAAAACATAAGTAAAACACTTCATGACATAAATCTTTAAAGATTCTTCTCCAGAAGCAAGAGAAACCAAAAAGAAGGTAAACATCAAGGCCTATCTCAAACTAAAAAGCTTCTGTACAGCAAAAGAAAGAATAATCAAAACAAAGAGCTATCTTACTGAATAAGAGAAAATATTTGCACACCATATGACAGATAAGGGACTGACATCAAAGACCTACAAAGAGCTTACACACTTAACAAAAACAAAACAAACAACCCAATCAAAAAATGGGCAAAGTAACTGAAAAGACACTTCTCCAAAGAAGAAATGCAAATGGCTAACAGGCAGACAAAAAAGACATAACTAATTAAAAGGGAAATGCAAATCAAAACCACAATGAGATACCATTTTACTCCCAT